CCCAATGTACAACATAATTAATTAATTCAATCAGAGGTCAATCCTTTAAGACAATCTCTAGGTATAATAATATTAACCTATTTGTAATCTCTTTACCTTCAACAGGCTAGATTAATGGTGTTGCATCTTTGATTTCTTAATTCCAATTCTTTCTGAAACAAAGCGTTTAAAATCCATGCTTGCTTATCAAACTTCCAGCTTGCATGTGATATGCAGTCATATTATATCAGTTGCCAAACCATCCTTATGGTTTTCCTTTGTTTTTTTCTAGTTCAGAAATAAGGAAAATAAATAAAAAGACAATATAATATTGGGCACGCTCCTAAAAATATGGCTAGATTAGTTTTGTTGCACATTTATAATTGGTTACTTCACGAATTATCTCCATTTTTTTTTTGGAATTTAATATCAAGCAATAACAACATAATACATATTTATTAATGATATATACTAAAACTATTAATAATATAAAGAAAGATACTGAGGTAAATTGGTCAATTGTGATGGTTTTTATGTTCAGAGCATTGGAAACAGACACTGCTATCATTCATTAAATAAGTATGCAATATCTTTTTTAGGTTAAAAAATGGAAGTTCTTTCAAGTTTTTATATTAAGAGTTGTGTTCCCCAGGAAAAATTATCTGGGATTTATGCAGAGTTCAACATTGCCAAAGATAGTCCTAAATAGGCCTATAATAAAACAGGATGGTTTCCCCCTCTGCTAACCTCTTTTTGCCTCTTTCTGTCATCCTCTTCTCACTTTCTCTGCCACTCAATTCATTTTTATTTTTACATCTTGTTAAAGAAAGCAGCTCTTCTAGTGGGCATGCCTTTTGGTAGTGAAAACAAAATGAGACAAAGTGTTGTCATGCACCATTTTTGCTGCTGTGACCGAAAAAATAAATTGTGTTTTATGTGGCCACTTGTTGGAGATTTTATCATTGCTATGAACCTAAGAGCTTTTAAACTACTACTGATAGGTGAGAAGTAGAGGAAGGGAGGTATTTTCACATGCTGCCCACATGTCTGTTTTTCATGAAGCCTGAAAATAAAATCAGTTTCTATATTTGAGACATATGAAACTTTCTCTTCTTCCCCATCTTCCTCCCTCTCTTGGTATGTACACTGCTCAAAAAAATAAAGGGAACACTTAAACAACACAATGTAACTCCCAGTCAATCACACGTCTGTGAAATCAAACTGTCCACTTAGGTAGCAACACTGATTGACAATCAATTTCACATGCTGTTGTGCAAATGGAATAGACAACAGATGGAAAGCATAGGCAGTTAACAAGACATCCCCAATAAAGGAGTGGTTCTGCAGGTGGTGACCACAGACCAATTCTCAGTTCCTATGCTTTCTGGCTGATGGTTTGGTCACTTTTGAATGCTGGCGGTGCTTTCACTCTAGTGGTAGCATGAGACAGAGTCTACAACCCACACAAGTGGCTCAGGTAGTGCAGCTCATCCAGGATGGCACATCAATGCAATCTGTGGCAAGAAGGTTTGCTGTGTCTGTCAGCGTAGTGTCCAGAGCATGGAGGCGCTACCAGGAGACAGGCCAGTACATCAGGAGACGCAGAGGAGGCCATAGGAGGGCAACAACCCAGCATCAGGACTGCTAAATCCGCCTTTGTGCAAGGAGGGACAGGAGGAGCACTGCCAGAGCCCTGCAAAATGACCTCCAGTGGGCCACAAATGTGCATGTGGCTGCTCAAATGGTCAGAAACAGACTCCATGAGGGTGGTATGAGGGCCCGATGTCCACAGGTGGGGGTTGTGCTTACAGCCCAACACTGTGCAGGACGTTTGGCATTTGCCAGAGAACACCAAGATTGGCAAATTCGCTACTGGCGCCCTGTGCTCTTCACAGATGAAAGCAGGTTCACATGAGCACATGTGACAGACGTGACAGGGTCTGGAGACGCCGTGGAGAATGTTCTGCTGCCTGCAACATCCTCCAGCATGACTGGTTTGGCAGTGGGTCAGTAATGGTGTGTGGTGGCATTTCTTTAGGGGGCCGCACAGCCCTCCATGTGCTCGCCAGAGGTAGCCTGACTGCCATTAGGTACCGAGATGAGATCCTCAGACCCCTTGTGAGACCATATGCTGGTGCGGTTGGCCCTGGGCTCCTCCTAATGCAACACAGTGCTAGACCTCATGTGGCTGGAGTGTGTCAGCAGTTCCTGCAAGACGAAGGCATTGATGCTATGGACTGGCCCACCCGTTCCCCAGACCTGAATCCAATTGAGCACATGTGGAACATCATGTCTCGCTCCATCCACCACGTTGCACCACAGACTGTCCAGGAGTTGGGGGATGCTTTAGTCCAGGTGTGGGAGGAGATCCCTCAGGAGACCATCTGCCACCTCATCAGGAGCATGCCCAGGCATTGTAGGGAGGTCATACAGGCACGTGGAGGCCACACACACTACTGAGCCTCATTTTGACTTGTTTTAAGGACATTACATCAAAGTTGGATCAGCCTGTAGTGTTTTTTTTCCACTTTAATTTTGAGTGTAACTCCAAATCCAGACCTCCATGGGTTGCTAAATTTGATTTCCATTGATAATTTTTGTGTGATTTTGTTGTCAGCACATTCAACTATGTATTTAATAAGAATATTTCATTCATTCAGATCGAGGATGTCTTATTTTTGTGTTCCCTTTATTTTTTTGAGCAATGTATGTATGTATGTATGTATGTATGTATGTATGTATGTAAGTTTATTTGTTTATTTATTTATTTAATTTCTGTGCCACCCATCTGCCCTACTAGGTGACTCTGGGCAGCTTACAAATTATTTCTTAATACATCTCCCTTTCCCATTTAGCCAGGTACTGCAAAATGTTCAAATATATCTTAACTTCTGGGAAGAAAGAGGTTAGTAACAGAGTAAGAGAAATATTTATTGTTAGTGCAAATGTTCTTTCAGTACAATATGTGTATGCAAAAAGCTGCAAAATTGGAAACATGGGGGCTGGGCGGGGAGGAAAGGAAGTAGAGATAGGCCAAGAAGCAGAAAAAGGGTTGAGATAGTTGATAATGAGAGATCAGAAGAAGCCTTACATGTTTTGGTTGGATCAAATAAAAAAAAAAAACCCTGCTGTACTGTATTGAATTACACACATTGATCTGAGTCTCAACCAAATACTCACAGGTCACTAATGCTAAAGTATTATTCCTGCATGCATTCGTTTAAAAAAAACGATTCTAACATTGGGAAAATAGCTAAGTTATTTTTTCACACAAATAATATGGAGTTGGCAAACATTTGTAGATTCTCATGGTGTGTGTGTGTGTGTGTGTGTGTGTGTACTTCCAAGTAAAAAAGTTGATTCTCAGTAAATGTCTGAAGAAGTTCCTGCAGTTTTCTTGGCAAGATTTCAGAAGTGGTTCACCACTGCTTGTTTCCTAGGGCAGAGAGACAGTGACTGGCCTAAGACCACTAGCTTTGGGCTTAAAGTGGGACTAAGAACTCATAGTCCCCAAGCTGATGCCTTAAACTAGTACAACTTTATAAAATTTTATAAAGGCCACTCAATACCTTCTTGTAATTGAAAATGTGCATTAAGAGAGCCGAGGAAAGGTGTGCATGAGAAATACTTGATTTCAGGTCAGAGATCCATTTTGGAAAAGGCCTGTAGATCCCAACTTTTCAGTCACTAGACTCAAGACTCATTTCTGACTCCTTTCAACCTGACTTTTTGACATTGTCTACTGCAGAAATGTTTTTTTTTAAAAAAATAATGGTTGTAGGGAAAAAAAAACAGTTACAACATAGCCCCGAAGTAGGGGCAGACTGCAACGGAATTATTTGCAACCCAGGATTTTCCCAGCACAGAGTGTAAGCAGAGAAAAGCCTTGTGGACTTCAACTCCCAGAATTCCCCAGTCAATGGCTGGGGAATTCTGGGAGTTGGAGTCCACAAGTCTTAAAGTTGCCAAGCTGGAGACCCCTGGAGTAAAGGGATGAACCATGTACTGTAATAGCTCCGATTCCCAAAAGGGGCAAGGTCAGGAAGCTGCCTTGGAGGGGGGGCAGGCTCCTGGCCTGTGCTCTTCAGCGGGAGCCCTCTGCCCTTCTCTCGTCCCTTCGACCGGTCAGGCCTCGGGGGGTCAGACGCTGCGGCGGGAGACCGCCAAGGCCAGGCCTCGCGGTGCTTGTTTACTCCTTAACGATCGATCTCCTTCGCCAGAGCCAGCTCAGCTCCGGGTAAGCCAGAGCCACCCTCCAGCCGGTCTGGGGGCCAATGACAGGTTGAGAGCTCAAGAGGGCGTTGCAGGAAAAATATCCAGTCGAGGTGACAGCCAAAACTCCTCCTATCCTCACAACGCTTTGGCTTGTATTGTGGGGAACATGGCAGATGGAGATTAGAAGCGGGGCGGCTGCTGGGGCTCTTCGGCTGCTCCGAGCTCCCGCGCCACTTGTTGGCTGCCCTTCGGTGCCCTTGCTTGGGGAGACGGCCGGGATGCCGTAGGGCATATCTGCAAGAGGATTTTCTTGGAAGCCTTTCGAAACCGAGCGATCGGGTTGATCGGGGTTGTTTCAAAACCGCCGGATTCCTTGAATGAGTGTGTGCGCAGCGCGGGGAGCTCAGGACCGTGCGCGCTTGGGATGATCCGGCCATGGAAGGGGGGCAGCGGCAGCGAGCCGTGCAGGTTAGCCGCTTGCTGATGAAGAGGCGCAGGACGCGGCAGGGGCCCGCGGCCGGGAGCAGAGCCAGCCACTGCTGCAGGGATCGGGTGCCGCTGGCTCCCTGCGGCCGCGGCCGCGGCAGCAGCAGCAGCAGCAGCAGCAGTTCCCAGGTGGGACCGGGCGCCCTTCGCGTAGCAACCCCGCATTGCTGGTGATCTTGCGGCTCCGCGCGAAAGGGCCGACGCGGAGGAAAGGAAGGCGCATCGGGCATCCAGATCGCAGCGAGAAGGGGAAGGAAGAGGAGGAGGAAGAGAGGGGAAAAAAAGGTGAGGGTGGAGGGAAGCAGGCAGAAACAGCAGCAGCAGCAGCAGCAGCAGCCACCATGCTGCCCGGGGTGGGCGTGTTCGGCACCAGCCTGACCGCCCGGGTCATCATCCCGCTTCTAAAGGACGAGGGCTTCGCGGTCAAGGCGCTCTGGGGCCGCACTCAGGAAGAGGCGGAAGAGCTGGCCAAGGAGATGAGCGTCCCCTTCTACACCAGCCGCATAGACGAGGTCCTGCTGCATCAGGATGTGGATTTGGTCTGCATCAACCTGCCGCCTCCCCTCACCAGGCAGATCGCGGTGAAAACTCTGGGTGAGTCTCCGTGGAGAGCTTGGCGGGCAGATGGCTGGACTTCTGAGGTGGTGATGGTGGGGAGGCCGTGGAAGAAGCAGCAGCGCCTTGAAACAGAGAAGGCCTGCTTGGAAGCCAAATCCCTGGCTGCCCTAGATGCCCTCTAGAGTGCCCTTTTATTAGGTGTTTAGCCTGCCTGGCTATTTATTGGAAAGAAAAAAAGGGGTGGGGGTGGGGGGGAAAGGCTCTGCGTGTCCTTAGGGGCACAGGCTCGGTTTGTGTTACTGCTTAGGCGACAGGGCCTTTCATTCCCCCTTGGTAACAAGTCCTAAATCTGAATACTGCTCCATATCAAATCCCAGATCGCTTAACCTGCGCTTCAAAAGTCCTTTCTTGACTACAGGGGTGTAACTTTTGCAAGGATTGAAGTGTCAAGCAAAGAAGGCCTCTTCATATGTTTTAGAGGTGTTGTTATAAACCTCAAAACAGGTTGCATTTAGAAACTGTCAGAATGATGAAATAAGGGAATATAAAAAAACCTGCACAGAATTCTTCTTCAAGGAAATTGACAGTCTGCCCACGTTTTTTGGTATTCCTAGTGTTTTTCCTCCTGGCCAGGGTGGCCTTTGTTTTCCTCATTAATTTCTCATTTTCTGTGACTGAATTGTCATTTCTGTATCAAATCATTCTTTGGGAACTTTAGTGCTGTGAATTTGGTTAGCCCATTTTACTCAAACAAATCTTAAACTTACTGATTGCCTAAACAAGTTAGTGTTTTTCAAACATCCTATAGACCAGGCCTGTCTATTGACTGCATGTGGCCCTAGAAAGCTACTAACGCAGTCCCAAAGATAATAAAAGTATATTAAAAAAGAGAAGTTTGTTACATTAACTATATTATATATTTTGTATGTGGCCCAAGACAATTCATCAATGCGTCCCAAACTACCATGCCATAGACCTTTCCATTGCTACACTTTTATTTTTGTCCAATATAAGAGACAATAGTCTTTAAAAAATTGATGGGCAGCATAGTCATTGCACTTTGTTTCCCTCTATTGCTCATATTTATTTTAAATAAATCATTGTCATTTCCAGTGTAAATAGCTTGCTGTGGAAAGGACGTTGTGTTGTATAAAAAGAGCCAGTGTTGAATTTCTGTTTGAATTTATGAAAATTATTTTTCTATGGGAAAACGATGTAGCTTTGTGTTAAAGCCATACTTTGACTGCTACAGATCCTACTTTCAGTATCTAGCATTTCCAGGTTATGATGGAGAAAATTACCTTGTAAAACCTTGGAGATCTGAAATTATTGACCAGCGTTTCCCAAATAAAGTGTATTCCAGAAGTATTAGATTGTAATTCTCATCAGTTGGTTCCTCTTCATTGCCAGGGGTATTGTACTTAAAAAAAAAATCTCAGCAAGAAAAACAGCAGCATTTTCATATTGTCTGGGGATGTTGGCGCTGCAGTTTTACCTACCATACCTGGAAAACAGTCAGATTAGAGGAAGTTCTTTTAGACAAGAGTTAAGAATCATGATTTACCTTAGAATTTTTATAATTTCATAATTTTTCAAAAGTAAAAACTGTTTTTAATGATTCACAGAAATAAAATACCATGTAAATATTACCCGAGAATAATCATGAAGAATTTGACCCACAATGATACTGACCCATAATAATTACTGGTAGTTTTGTATTCCTTCTTAGATTGCATCAATTTACATACAATAAAACCTTAATTTAACAGATCAAGGAAGAGGGTGGGTGGGTCTGTTATTCCCAAATGTCTATTAAATCACAAATCATGTCATTTATTATAATGTAGATCATTTGCATAATACAAATGAAGCAGACTGTTATTTTAGTCAATTTGCATTGTTTTAGTAACCTGTCACTAGGCAAATGATATCAATTATGAATGATGTAAAATTATCATAAAATATTTAGTTGCAATGGACTTGCTTGTTACTTCAGTGGCTGTCCAGGAAAAACTTTGGTCTCTTGCATAAAAAGGGGTCCATTAAATTGAAGTATTGTTGTATTGTGTTTTCAGATAGGACGGCAGTATATTCAGATGTGACGGAATAGAGTTTTTCAGCAATGTTGCATTTTTTTAAAAATTGCCAAACAAAGTTTTTTGGTTTTCCTGAATTGCACACCTGCTGCAGTTGCATTAAAAAGAAGTATCTTCACTTTTGTTTTTCAAACCAATCAGTTCAATGCAACAGCTGTTGCAGATTAAAGGAGAGGAAGATAAGATAGGAACCAAAATTGGTCCTCGGACATGTAGTCTGAAACAAAAGAGAAAAGCAAAAGATATTTTACTACCTTTCCAAATCCTCCTTTATAAAAGTGTCTAAAGTTTCATTTCTTTTGTTATTTTGCTGCTAGAGAGAAAGAACTGAAGTGGAAGCCCCATTTGTTAGGTTATCATTTCTCCTGCCTCTCTCTTTATAAAATCCTAGATTTTCCCCAAGCCGATACTATTTAGGTGTGTTAAGAAGGAACAGAGTGTGTAGCATATTGGGGATGATAGGCATTGTAGTCTAGTTTGTCCAAAAGATGCCGTTAGATGTTGAAGTGAGAAATGTCTGTCTCTTTTTTAAAGAAACAACTGATTGTTTCCATTGTTATTAGTGACTAATCAGGGATTTCTTGAAGTAAGCAAAACTGTCATGGAGACCACTGTGGTGATACTCAAAGGCATGCATATTTTATACCACACCAAGACATCTAATTTGACACAATTGACAATGGAAATATATATATATATATAGCCATGCAATTAAGACACATTATATACTGAATACTACTAAATATCAGTTTAGGTTTTTCTCCCTGGTAATACGATCAGTGTAACTTAAAACATAATAAATATAATATATTTTATATAAAAATTATATACACATTTTCATGTTTTGTGGTGGATGTTGATTAATATACTTGGCTTTTCTTTTCTAGTAAATGGTAAACAAATCTGGAATTACATGAATTTCTGAAAAATTTTGTGGATGGCTTCTTTTTCTATAATTGCTTTTAAAGTGAATTCATTCCTAAACAATATACTTTGTTCTTTAAAAAAAAAGAAAGAAATATCAGTAGGCATGACTTCCTTCCTCTCAAAATCTCATAAGTACTTTTTAATATTAACTATTAATTAGTTTCACTAAGCTTTCAGAAGTCTGCCATTTTATGTCTAAAATAGAATTTAGGAGCATACTTGAATGAAATAGTGCCCTTTATAGCCTGGATCGCATCTGTCCCGGAGGAAAAATTATTCATCTTTCTTATGCTTTGTTTGTTTCTCGGAACTTCAGCCCTCATGTATTTGGCTGCTGAGCAAATTATTCTTTTATTTTGTATATTTCCAAATTGCGTATATTCTTCAAAGAGGAGCTTTTTTCATTTTTAATTGAAAAGAAAATACTGGTTCTAGAGTTTTTCTCCATTTTAAACAAACCACTTTGAATATTACCATAAAGAATAGACAATGAAGGAAACATCCAGAGATAGTGTAGTGTCCATTATTCTAAGCAGAGCATGGTGGTAAAACCTATGTTATTATTACCTTTATTGTCGGAGTAGGACATGTGTACAATGAGATTGGCTGAGCCTCCCTTCATGCGCCCCCCCCAACACAACTCACAGTGAGGACAGAAGTCCCTAACCCAGGCCCAATCTTATTACACTATGTGACCTTGTTGCACAATGCTCCGGCCCCGTAAGTCTGTGTTATTTTCCATTCAGAAGTCTGACAGCCCACAGGTAGAAATTGTTCTTCAGCCTGTTGGTACCGCTGGCTATGCTTACCCGATGGTAGGAGAGTGAAGAAGTGTTGACCAGGATGGGAGTCGTCCCTGAGAATTTTCCTCACTCTTCTAAGGCAGCGAGCCCTAGCGATGTCATCTAGTGGTATCAGGGAACAGCCCACAATGTTTTGTGTTGTGCTCACCACCCTCTGTAATGTCTTTCTATCCGCGGCTGTCAAGCCAGCATATCACACCATAATGCAGTATGTGAGGATACTTTCTATTGTGTAAAAGAAGGTCATCGGCCGTTGTTCCACTTTATTCTTTTGCAAGACCTTAAGGAAATGGAGTCTCTGTCGGGCCTTTCTAGCCACCTGGGTCGTGTTGATTTTTCAGGTAAGATCTTCGCTGAGGTAGACTCCCAGGAATTTAAAGGTGGAAACTCTCTTTAATATTCTTTGTTGAATATTCCAGGTTGAATCCCTGCCATTTATAGAAAAATTCTGGACAAGACCTCTGAAATGATTTTTCTTATGTCATTGAAATTTTTTAAAAAGGAAGGCAAAAACTAATACAAACTAGTATAAAGTAAAGAAGAAGAAAAAAATGAAAAAGAAAGCTAAAAGTATAAGAAAGGAAAAAAGAAAAGAAAAATGGGAAAAAATAGAAAGTGAGTTCTGATCTTCTTTACACCGCAATATGTGCAATTATAAATTTACCTCTTTCTTTAAAAGATAAATAGAATAGATGAATCTACATCTATCCAATTTATCTAACCCATAAATCATGAATTTATTTTTTCTGTTTTATTCAAAAAATCCACAAGGAGTTTCCAGTCAGCAATAAATATATTTTCTGTCCTTTCTCTACTGTAATCAAAGAAGTCAATTTGGCCATCTCAGCAGAAAGGCATTAAGATTCAAACAGTAATCTGCCAAGTATAGTAAGGGTTTGATTTATATTGGATATCTTATGTTCCTATGACTCTTACCTTTCCTGGTAGACTGGCTGGATGAGTGTATGTGTACACAGCCATTACTTAACAGGAAGTCCATGTTTCCTTCCTCAGCCTTTATTTTGCAAATTATGTATACAGTATAGATTATTGTTTTTTAAGGGCTGGATCAAAAGGAACCTCTGTATTTTATTTACATGAGATTATATTGAAGAGGTTTGTGGGACTGCTCCTTTTACACTGGCCCCAGTTTTATGCCTCAAGTGTGAGACAAGAACATTTAGAATAAATCTACATGGGTAAAAGTCTTCATG